ATGCTCATAGACTTATGGGTGGGTATGGGTGGGTATTCAATATGGTGGATAAACCCTCAAGGAGATCATCCAGCCCATCTTCGAGGAGAAGTTCATGCTCCAGCCCATCCATGTCATTACGATGATGCTCGACCTGATCATGAAGATGCATTTGCATGGGTTGGGCATCAATGTTGATCAGATTGACGAGGCCAAGGAGAACTTGAAGGCATACATGATCAAGTACGGCCATGGCCTTAACTTAGTCGTCGATGAAGATGATGATGATGGCATAATTGTTCTACCGATAGAATGATGACTTATGCGGCTTATTAACACGTTAGTCCAATGCACCGCAAGCTTCATATAACATATTTTGCTGCACTTTAACAACTTGTCCCCTACATCATTATATAAAAACCATTTATTTTGTATTACAGGCATTTGGGAAATATGAAAATACATTTATTATGTTATTGCCTTCTACCTTTCAATTCTTTACAGGATTTCTTTTACATCTAAGGTCAAGCAATGCATGGGTATGGGTGGGTACTTCATCTTGAAAAATATTATGAGTGGGGGTGGGTGGGCAAAGCCAGCTCGCACAGAGCATGGGTACCCAATGGGTACTCGACCAGGACCCTGTGTAGGGCTCTGTTGAGAAGACCTTTTGGGCACCTTATACTCTTCAAACAACAAACCAAACAGCACCCCGTGGGGTGGAACAGCCGCTTTCCATGTTGATAAGATATTGGGCAGCCAGGAGGACCTTCCAGGGAAGTTGGACAATAAGAACGTTTTGCTGTAAGTATTGGACAGCTATTGAGAATCCCTTCCTGGGAAGAAAACGTGAGGTAAGGGGTGGAGCAGGGTTTGAATGCTTGCCTATTCAAAGATTTCAATTAGGAATGAGTAGATTCAATCAATCCCAATTTGAATTTGAATTGAACTTAATTTTAGGGATTTAATTGGGGAGCATTAAAAGCGAAATTAAAAGAGAAAGGGGAATGGAGTGGGCCGGCCAAGCTAGAGGAGAGAGGGGTTTCGATTTTGAGGAGGTGGGGCCCACTTGATTACTCAATTGATTTGAATAAAAATCTGAAATAATTTCAGCTTTAAACACAAAGAAGGTTTCCTAAATTACAGACGATTAATTGGGTTGATTTTGAATTTCAAATTCGAAATTCAAATCCAATTAATGCGATTGCATGAATTAAGGAGGCAATCTAGGAAACATTTAATGGCTAATGAAACTCCCAAATTTCAGATTTGAAATTCGAAAAGGGGAGAAGGAGGCGGTGGCAAGGTGGGAGGGGACCGGCGGGCTGCTTGGTTGCGGGGAAGGCTGCTGGTGGCTGGGCCGGCGGGGAAGGCTGGTGGCTGGGCCGGCCAAGGGAGGCCGGCGGTGGGGCTTGGGTGGTG